GTTTCAACCGGTTCGCGGCGGTCCCTGCGAACCGGTTGGTCGCTGAACCTGGAAGTAAGTAACTTCCGGGAACGGCAAAGGGCGCGCCCGCCCACCCACGGTCCTTACCCGGTTTTGACGAGTTCTGCGCTTCCACGCATGCGCAGGACGCATACAGCGCCTGCATGATCGTCCAGGAGCAGCTGGAGCGTCGCACAGATGCTAGTACGCATGCATGCACCACGCGCGTGCACGAGGACGCCGCCAGCCCCGTTCCAATTGGTTCGGTTGGAACGGGGCCGGCGGCGTCCTCGTGCACGTGCGCGGTGCATGTATGCATACTAGCATCTGTGCGACGCTCCAGCTGCTCCTGGACGATCATGCAGGCGCTGTATGCGTCCTGCGCATGCGTGGAAGCGCAGAACTCGTCAAAACCGGGTAAGGACTGCTGGCGGGCGGGCGCGCCCTTCGCCGTTCCCGGAAGTTACTTACTTCCAGGTTCAGCGACCAACCGGTTCGCAGGGACCGCCGCGAACCGGTTGAAACCCACCCCTGGTGTGTATATGGGGGAGAGAGGGGGGGGGAGGGAGGGAGAGGGAGGGAGAACCTTCCAATCTTCATCAAAAGTATAAACAAATTTAGTAATTCTTTATCTTCTCTAAAGTCACAAACATCTCTTCATCCTATATCCCATCTCTTATCTATAAGCAAATCCATAAACCATCTTCTTTTCAGTGATTTTCTACTATTGTTCTTAATGTGTTTCTCTAGGTTGAGCTCAGATTTTGTGCTGGGGACATTGTGACTGTGCTCAGTTCCATGGATGATGATGGGTTCTACTATGTACGTATCATGCCTTTCTTTTTTAAAAAATTCAAATGGTTCAAATGGTGATCTGGTAAATCAGAGGCCTTCATTGCTATGTATGGAACTGGGGGTGTGATTGTCCCAAAAGTGCTTTTTCAAGAAGCAATTGGACTTTCTGGTTTATCTTTGAATATGTTTCGCTTCTCATCCAAGAAGCTGCTTCAGCTCTGGAACAACCATGAATGACCGAGAATCTCCATAGATATGGGTGTGTGATTGTTTCTATTTTTAGAGTTTGTGGAATATACGGTATATATCTAAAGTCTCGTGTCTGTTTCATGGTAACTTTCAGTTGGGTGAAATGGTGTATCACAGGGCAACAAATTTTGAATAAAAGAACCTCAAATGGGCTTATTTAAAGAATGCATCCAAAATATGGGATCCATAACTCCCATGAGACTGGAATTTTGGCAAAATTGTGGCCATTTGAATGCTGTCGTGCTGGGGAAGCCAGTAGCAAATTGAAAGTCATTCCCACTGCCTTTTTGGCCTCTGTTTAAGTAAGGAAATATTCCTGAAATGACAATCCAACAGGTCACAGGTTGCTTGGCTGAATTCTACGTAATTATTGCCTTCCAGGAAGTGTTTCTAATATCAGCAAAAGTGAGGGATGTGAGTGTTCCAGTTTGGAAATGAAAGCTTCTGCTTTTCTTCTGAAAGGTCTTCTGATCATAGAGCAGTGATGGCGAACCTTTTTTGGCTCGCGGGCCAAAAGCGGGGGAAGTGCAGGGGGGTCGTGCGCAGGCGTGCCGCATCCATAATGCAATGTGTGACCCCACCCCCAGCGCGCATTGCGCACATGACAGGTGCGTCCTCCATTTTTTGCATGCTTTTTTCACCCTTCCCAGGCTCCAGAGGCTTTATAGGAGCCTGGGGAGGGCGAAAAGAGCCTTCCCCGGCCCTCCGGAGGCTTCAGGAGCTTCCCTGAAGCCTCCGAAGCGCAAAAAACCGCCCCTACGGGCAAACCGGAAGTTAGGGAACGGACCTCCAGTTTGCTTGTAGGGCCGATTTAAGCCCTCAGGAGCCTTCAGGGGCCTTCAGGAGGCTTCCCGGAAGGCTCCGGAGGAAGAAAAAAGACTCTATGAGCAAACCGGAAGTCACAAAAGCCTCTGGAGCCTGGGGAGGGCGAAAAATGGCTTTAAAAAAGGCTGAACTCAGCTGGCCAGTGCTGGCCAACTGACAGGGCAACCTCTCGCGTGCCCTGACAAATGCCTCCGCGTGCCACCTGTGGCAGGTGTGCCATAGGTTCACCATCCCAGACATAGAGTAATAGGCAGAGATCTAAGATGATGGAGATATATCATTAGTCCATCACTTTGCTTGGAAACAGAACATGCATTATAGTAAAGAAAAGGTATATTTGATTATTCATGTTATAACAGCAGCTAGGATTGTATTTGCACAAAATTGGAAGAGTGAAGAGAACCCTACAGAGGAAAATGTGATTAGGAGAATATTAGAATGCTCAGAAATGAATAAATTGACCCTGGCTATCAAAGAGAAAGAACAAACTGATTATTATACAATTTGGGAATCTTTTTACTGGTGGTTAGAGAATAGACATAAGAATTAATAGTAAAAGAAGTTATCTAAAGTATAGAAAATGTAGTAATAATTAATATAATTAATAGAGTTAAATAAATCACAATGGGATTGTTGTTATATTAGATACTTAAGATATTGGAAATTAAGCAAAGATGAGATTAAATAATGAATAAGATTGTATATTTTAATGTTGGCACAAAATATTTGTACCCAGACAGCACACTGGTTAATGAAAGATGGATTGTTTATATAAACATAAAATAAAACATATTTTAAAAAAAGAAATAGAACATGCACAAGAGATTGATGGTAGGAAAAAAGGAAGGACGTCCCTTTCTCTGATTGGTTTTGAATCATCAAGAGATCTCCAACTAAACATTTCCCTTCTTTATCTGCAGGGGGAGGTAAATGGACAGAAAGGTCTTGTTCCATCTAATTTCCTGGAAGCTTTGCCATCAGACGGAGCACTGGCAAGTGAGCCAAGCCTTGGAAGGCAGGTGAGGGAGACATGTTGCCTGATTGGGATCCAGATGTGAAAATGGGTTTTTATCACAGAACTGGGATGCCAGCAAATCGGTGTCTTTTCCTCCAACCATGTATTCCACCAGCTCAGATAATTGAGTTATCTTTGTTTTTCTATTCTTGTATGCTCGTGGCATCCCTCAGCGAGTGAGGAAAAGAAGAATCCAGTGATGCATGTGAGACAGTCAAGAGGAAGAGAGAAAAGCAGAGAACAATCACGTAAGTCCCCAGGTCAAATCCTTCCAGAATGCTTTTTGCCAGTTAGTAAATATTTTATATCTCTGGACGTATTGGCATCAGGATGAGGGCAGAAACAAAATTTTCCATTCTGCAAATCAAGGGGACTACTTCAAACAGATGCTTAAGAATGTCAAGGTAGATCCTTTGAGTTGAAAGGTAACTGTAAAGGTTCCCCTCGCACATATGTGCTAGTCATTCCCGACATTAGTGGACAGTGCTCATCTTCGTTTCAAAGCTGAAGAGCCAGCGCTGTCCGAAGACATCTCCATGGTCATGTGGCCGTCATGACTAAACGCCGAAGGTGCACAGAACACTATTACCTTCCCACCAAAGGTGGTTCTTATTTTTCTACTTGCATTTTTACATGCTTTCGAACTGCTAGGTTGGCAGAAGCTGGGACAAGTAACGGGAGCGCACTCTGTTTCGTGGCACTAGGGATTCGAACTGTCAAACTGCCAACCCTTCTGATCGACAAGCTCAGCATCTTAGCCACTGAGCCACCCCATCCTTTGAATTTCCCCCCAATTATTGTCATCCACCAAAGCCAGTGCTTGCCTATAGCTGATGTGAACTTGGTATAAAGTTATCAACCATAATTATCAATTCCAATGCTCCCTGCCAGTTTCCTACAAAGAAAGTCAATAGGGATGATGGTAGGAAGTTGGAAGTCACTCCCACTGTTTTTTTTACCCACTGTTTAGGCAAGGAAATATCTCTGACATGAATACTGGATCACAGGTTACCTAGCTGAATTCTACAACAATTATTGCCTTCCAGAAAGTATCAGTTATGTCAGCAAATACAGGAATCTAGGTGTTCCAGCTTGTAAATGAACTATCTGCTTTTCTTCAGAAAGAACTCCTCTCTGTTTGCCAGGTACATACAGTAATGGGCAGGAGCCCTCAGCATACAGCATTTGTGCTACTCCCAGATCAATTTGGTACCTGTGTGATCACCCGCCATAACCTTCCTTCTCTAATGCAAGAGTTGTTATTGTAAAATCAGATCTACTGTAATATGTTTTCCTGGAGTTGCTAGGTGAACAATTTTCTGTGTGGGTGCACCCCCCACTAAATTTGAATGATGCAAACCTATGAATTGTTATAGTCCAGGAACAGTTTCTAGTTAAAACTTAACGTGGATATTTATTTGTAAAGTTTGAAATTATTTTGGATATTGAATTATTTGTGGTTGAGGTGTGAAACAGTGAGATGAATGCAATATTTCGTTTCTCATATGCACTATCTTTTCTCCCCCCTCCCACAGTGGTATCCAGTAGATCATCTGATACACCTTCCATTTTTGCTTAGCACCTGGACCGTCCACTGCCTCAGAGTCTCAGGGTTGGGTGTCTCTTGAGCATCTCAATCCTGAGACCTGCCCTTCAGGACAAGAAGAACATATTCCTGAAAAGAGAGAAAATTCACCCCAGGTCGAGCAAGAAGAATGGTGCTGAGCTCAGCTGCCATAAAGCGTTGCAGTAAAAAAGGAACGAATCACGATGTAATTCGCAATGGCATTTTATTTCTATAGATTGCAAGATGTGTCAAGTGGTTTGGGAAGCAAGTATGAGCTCCAGAAAGGGAGTTCTGTAGAGACACGTTGCTCACAATCTCTTCTCCAGTCTGTAATGTAGTTCAGTGGATGTTCCCTATTTTACTTCCAGAAAGTATGTCCCTTGTTTTGGAAATCAAAGCTGCTTTCTTAGGCCTTTTCTCTCAGCATATCACTTCTCTCGATCCACAACTTTCTTTTATCGCCTTTTCTCAACCGGTCTCAACTTGGACATTGTCCTTCTCAGAAAGAATCAGACAAGGATCTAATTTGGCTGGGTCTGGCTGAATTGTTGTTGACTATATATTATCTGGGGGTTCCTGCTCAAGAACCTTCATGTTTGCCAGTGGAAGACTCACACAACCATCTTCGTGTGGAGTCTTGTTTTGATACAGCAACTTCTCTTTTTGTGGTACTCTAATGCTAAACTGCACATTTCTGTCCCCTGAGTAGAAATCAGGGCATTTACCATTTGATGGTAAGTTAAGGACATTGATTGCCTTCAGGTACATAACTCTGTACAGTACCATGATAAATAATTTACTGTAATAATGCCGCTAATCATTCCTTGGACATCAAATGTGACCAACAAGCATTAGTGGAGTGCATAATACCAGACATGTCACTGGAAGGAAAAAAAATCACAAAATTGTGCCTCATTTGGGGGAATGTGGGGGAATTCACTGGAGAAAGCAATTATGTTTGGAGTTAGTGATAAAAGGAAAGCAGGCCACCGAAGAACATGATGGCTGGATACGATCAGCGCTAACACCAACCAGAGCATAGGAAAACTTAAAGAAGTTGTGCAAGATTGGAAGATGTGGAGAGGCCTGGCCGATAGACTTGCTAAGATTTGGGCACAATTGAATGGATAATATCATCATCATCATCAATATCATCATCATTGCCAATGATGGAATTTTACTTATCTATTCTTACCTTTCTCATTTTTTCCTGGATTACATTCAAACAGTTTGAAACCTCTGAATATAAAATCTCATTCATAGGTTGTGTCATCCTATAACGTACCATGCATGGGGAAAACATCACTTCTGCTTCAGATACTGTATGTCATGGGAGCTCCCACAATGCCAGCTGAGATGTGGGGGCAGCATCTCATAAGCATCCAAATCATCCAGCTCAAGATCTTATAGGAAGGAGATTCCCCCCCACCCTACATCCCTGCTTCCAATTTTTGCATTTTTATTAGAGAGGGTTTGACATGATCACCGTCTTTTGGTCCACAGATCGTTACCGGCTAAAGGTGAGAGAATCAGAAAGTCAGGCTCACCCACAGTTAGGGACTACTCTCATCCTCCAAATAGTTGTAACATGTCCAGACTCAAGATCATAACATTTACTTGGTACGTGGGCAAAAAAATCCCCCCAAATGCTACCATTTAGTAAAGCATGGAGATGGTTATTAGATAGATTTCTGGCTACAGATTTGTAGAATATATGCAGCTCGAGAAAAGTGCTAACAGCCCATTTAGAACGTCTGTGCTAGATATGCGACTGAGTAAGCTTTCTGTTTTCCATAGTTAGACTCTCTACTCAGAGTGTAAAGGTAATAAGCAGGGGTGAAATCTACTTACCTTTGCTATCGGTTCGGTAGCAATGTGAGCGTGCACACAAAGCGTCAAAAACGGACGTGATGACATCCGGGCGGGTGAGCGGAGCCTGCTACTGAATAGTGAACAGTGAGGTGGAAAGGTGGGGAATCCACTGTACCATGCGATTTAGATTAACTAGAAAGCAGGAAATAAATCATGCATCACAGGTGATCATCAGAAAAACCAGTTCGCCTGAACCGGTTTCATTTTTTTTACTACCGGTTCGGGCGAATCAGTAGCATTTTTACTATCAGTTTGGGTCAACCAATCCGAACCAGTAGCATTTCACCCTTGATAATAGGTCTCATTGGCTATTGCCTTCAGTTATTGGTATTCACAGGTACATTACACCTGAAAGGGAGAGGTTTCATTTCATCTAATCTCAAAGGATCTCTTATTTCTGTTCCATGAAATTAACTAGTTTCTCCTTTAATACCATCTAAGCCTATGATCATTAACACATTGTGCAATATAAATTATGTATAAATTATGTATTTTGAGAAGGTCTCTGTCCTGAATCTCTGTCAACAGCACTGTTGGATTTCCATTTTGAGTTTGGAACAAAAGACTAATTCACTAATTCGCCAACTTCCAGATTCATTTGGACTACAGCTTCCATTCCCAACTTGAACATTGTGGGTGAAAATCCTAAGAATTGCAATCCCAACAACTCTGGAAAGTATCTATTTTATGGAAAGCTGCTCTTTCTCTTCTACGCCCCAGGTATAATTTATAATCCTCTGGAGTTCCTGCTTCACAGTTGCCTAGAACAATTCTTAACCACTGCCTATTATTGACATTGAGATTGCCAGTTGACTTTGACTTAGCTTAAATGGGCCATCAATTGGCTTGCATTTACTTCATTTCATAAAAGATGTTCAACTCACCCTTCGCCTATGCCCAAGAATATATCAAAATGCAGACTGCACTGTATTATGGAAACCTAACACTTTCTTTAAAATAGCTCTGAATGGCATTGTGATTCTTTTCTTGGTAGAAGACTTCTTTGCCAGGATCAAAGTTGGACCTAAAGTTGGAACCATGTTTTCATGAAGTGAAATTCTGAGGCGAATGTCCACTACTGAAGAAACAGAGAGAGAGAGGGAGAGAGAAAGGGTGGGGGGAGAGAATGGCTAAGTTGGATTAAGTTGATAATAGGTACAAGTATGAGAGTTTATCCTTTGTCCCTGGTTACTGGCATTCTAAACTAAGAAGGCAGCCCAGACTCGACCAGTGTCCTTCTCCTGTGGTCTGCCTTTTGTAAGATTTCCAGCTGCTGAACTAAGCAGCTCTAATGGTGAGGATCAGTGGGCACTGTGCCAGCCTGTGTGCCTAGCTGTGGGAAGGGGCGCCCCTTATTCAGAGGTGACCGCTATTTTATGACTGAGAGATTTGTGTGTGTGTGTGTGTGTTTTAATAAATGTGTCCCCCATTCTTGCAGCCAATGTACCTCTGCATGTTTGTTGGGAAAAGGAATCATTCTTGTTCAGTATGGATTACTGAGAGGGGGTGTTGGATGAGCTATGTTTTTATTTAAAAATAATAATTTATTATATTAAAGTCTATTTTCACAAAAAATCAAGTGTTCCTATTGGAAATTTGCTTCTTTTTTTGGAAGGTTGATTTATATATTTATTTATTAGACTTATACACCGCTTCATAGGGCTTTCAGCCCTCTCTAAGCGGTTTACAAATTTTTTTAGCAAATTGAGTCAGCAACTTGCCCCCACAGTCCAGGTCCTCATT